AGGAGATACTGTTTTGGATTTGAAGCTAGCTGATGTGAAATGTGTTTATGATGTGAAAAATGTTTGCCGACATTGCTCAGGTCCCATTGTTGTTTAGATGGATGCCATTGCTCATAAAATCACCTACCAGAAGCTTTCATGTTTTTGGGAGGCTTTAGCTATAACTGCACTACCTGTTGGCTTTCAGCTTTATGATACAGTAAGCTACCCTGCACAGATCTAGAACCTGCTGTCCAGTGCTTCCTCACCATTTTGGCTTGTGGCTCTTTGAAGTTCAGCCCATGAATGTTTTCTTCTCTAATATTTAAAAGAAAAAAAGCTACATTTGGATATTAATTTTGTGGCACATGACTCGTACTGGGGATCTTTGTTTCATGTACTGTACACTGTTGATTTTGCCATTTTATGTGAGCTCAAATGTGACTGTAGTAGATCAGGGTAATTAGTTGTCCATGCTGAGTACAAGACTGTGGTGATGATCTGGGTTGCTGTCTTTATACTGTACATCCATAACATGCTGAATATTTTGTCTAGTTTTAAAGGACTAGTGGTGGATCTGGAAGACGGGAACATTGTAAAGCTGGCTGAAGATGGGACTGTCTTACGGTATGCTCTTTTTACTGTACATGTTCTGCCTCCCAGAATATCTGTTGTCTCTTTGTAAAAGTTACCATGTTTTACTGGCCCTTAAAGTGCGTTAAAATAAGAGCTTAATTTTTTGCTTGATTAGAGCAACACATGGAACCACTGACCTTAGCACAGAAGAGATCATCAAACATTATGGTCCTCAACGAGAGTGGAAGCACTTTAACAGTCTTAGTACCTCCTTCACAAGATCTGGTATGTTGTTCATATCCATTTTCATTACCTATAGCTGAATGCACTTGGCTCTTACAGTACTTAGGATAAGGTGCATTATCTGGGAGCTCTTTCCTTTATTTTCCACTGGATTTTACTGATTTGTAAATCTTTTTTTGTCTTTGCAGAAAAATACTATTTTTATGACAACTATTTTGATCTACCTGGGGCTCTTCTCTGTGGAAGAGTTGTCGACATGATGCATAAGGTAATGTGTTAAAAGGGACTGGATATTTTCATATTAATGGTTTATATTTTCACCTGGAAAACTTTATATTCAAATGTATCTTTATGTTTTGTGACCAGCGAGGAAATGAGGTGAATTTCGACTTTTGGAAAGATATGGTTGCTGCCATAGACCACAATTACAACACATCTGCATTCAAAGGTATGCCTATCATTCCACAATGGCACAAATTTAGCTTTCTTAGTGTTAAGGACCAATATTGTAAAGAAGAAGAACACACACAATACACAGAGTATATTTTAGTTTTCAAACTTAGAACTTTTATTCTGTATTTTGGTCAGTAATTGGTACATGACTTAACACATCCAATGGTACATTGTTGCTTTGAAAACAAGGATGTTATTTTATTTCTCATTCTGTGTTTTGCTGGTCACAGTTCTTCTGAGAATCTGCCGATCTCTATTGTCTTTTACATGTGTATTACAGGAAAATTCTTAAACAGACAATAAAAACAAACACAAATAAAAGACATTGCCGTGAAATACCACTTATCTTCCAATATTGTTTCATGTTTCTTAAAATTACCAGGGCACACACAAAATGAACTGGGTCCAGGTATCAATTGGAACCATATTTAAATTTTTTTGTCAGCATTAATACCTCTAAGTGTCAAGTAATTTATTAGCAAATTGAGGAGTTTTTCCATTGTAAAAAATCAGCATTAGGCAGGTAAACTTATAAAAAATTACAAATACATTTTGTTTAACCTACAACCTGAATTTGGAATCATGTAAACAAATGTATTCCTCTGAGCAGTTCAATGTTTGTAAGGTTTTGAGGTTTATTTGGATTTGTGAAATCACGTTGAGGCAATCAAGAACCCAGAGAAAGCACAGTGAACATTATCTGCTGCAAATATACCATTACTCTCCTCATCAGGGACCTGGACATAGACTCTGTCACCGGCTTGCAGCATGAGAACAGTACTGCCTGACATCTGGTCCAGGAAGCCTTTGTTGTACTCATCATAGGTGAAAACAGCTGGCTCCTCATTTTTGTAGAGGGCCACCAATGCATTGGCACCATTTACATGAATATGATAGCTGAAATAATAGAGGCCTGGGATCTCACAGGTGAACACACCACTGTGGGGATCATAATGGTTCTCTCCATTGTACAGAACTTGGTTGAATTGAATAGGGGTTGCAGCTGGGGGGTAGGCCATGGTTAGCACAGCACTGAAGGCAGACATGGGGGCCTTCATCAGCTCATGAGGCATCACAACTTCATGGGACTTGATTGGCATACTCTTCTCATGGTGGTAGATGACCTCTCCTGGTGGGCCTGGTGGGCCAGGAGGACCAGTAGAGCCTGGGAGACCATCATGACCTCTGGCACCTGGAACTCCAGGTGGACCCTGAGGACCAGCAATTCCCTTAGCTGTCAGGCCAGCTGGGCCAGGTGGACCTGGAAGACCCGGATGGCCCTTAAGTCCAGGGGGACCTGATGGGCCAGGGAGGCCACTTGGTCCCATGGGTCCTGGCCTTCCATCTTCACCACCTTTTCCTGGTGCTCCTTGGAGGCCTGGGTGTCCTTTTGGTCCTGTGGCACCATTTGCACCTGGGAGTCCTGGGGCACCAGAAGGACCCTGTGCACCCTTTGTTCCCTGAGGACCATTATGACCTGGAATTCCTGGAGGACCTACTGCCCCAGGGAAACCAGGTTTTCCAGTGAAACCCTGAGCTCCCTGGTCACCTTTGGTTCCCCTTGGGCCTGGTGCACCTACCATACCAATGTCACCTTTGGGTCCTACTGGGCCTGGCTCACCCTGGAATCCTCTTGCACCCTGTGGACCAGCTGGGCCAATGGGACCAGGAGCACCTGGCTGACCAGTATAACCAGTTGGGCCTGGCTCTCCTTTCTGACCAGTGGTTCCTGGAGTACCGGGAGATCCTCTGCTGCCTGGTGTTCCAGGTTCACCTGTTTTGCCAGTACCTGGCATGCCAGGTGAGCCTGGCTGACCAGCAGGACCCTGTGGCCCTTTAGGCCCCATAGGTCCAGGCACACCTGGAGTACCATCCTGGCCTGGTTTTCCTGGTGCCCCTGTGCCTGGAGCTCCAGTGTGACCCTTTGGCCCTGGCATGCCCATTGGCCCAGGAGCACCATCTCTACCTGGCATGCCAGTTTTTCCAGGCTCTCCAGGATAGCCAGGGGTGCCAGGTTTACCATCTCCAGGTTTGCCAGGCATACCAGATGGGCCCATGGGTCCAACTGGGCCTGGTGGTCCTTGAGCCCCAGAAACTCCAATGCCTCTCTCTCCTTTGGGGCCAGGAATACCAGGAATACCAGGATGTCCCTTAATACCAGGTTCTCCTCTTGGTCCCATTGCTCCAGGGATGCCAGCTGGTCCAGGTTTTCCAACAGAAGAGAGTCCAGAAGGTCCAGGTGTTCCAGGTGTACCAGGCGCACCTCTGGGACCCATTGGCCCAGTTGCGCCAGATGCACCTCTCTCTCCAGGGTGGCCAGGGCTTCCTGGCTTTCCGGGGCTACCCGGTGTCCCAGGTTTACCTGGTTGAGAATAGCCAGGTGGTCCACGAGGTCCTGATGGGCCTTGTGGTCCAGTATATCCAACACCACTCTCTCCAGGAGGTCCAGGTGGTCCCATTGGTCCTGGCTCACCTGGAGGACCTGGAGGACCTGTCATTCCTGCAGCAGCTAGGAAATACAGAAATATAGGTACACATGATGTTGTCATTATGGTAAGACCAAAATTATTCTTAGTTTTCTCCAAGGAAATGATAAAGTGAAATGAAGTGTAGGCTACATGATCAGTTATTTTGAAGCATTTCTATCCTTTTCAATGCATGGCATAAAATATGCTTGTGGTCCATGAAAAACCCAAACTTTTATATTCTACTCCCTAGGACCACAACCTGACTTAAAATACTACTCCCTATGAGTGTGGGGTGGTTTGTGGGGACAGCACTCCTTTTTTCCCAGGATGGTCTTAACAGCACTGCTGGTCTGAGATAGTGTTCTTACCAAGCTTATGTCTTTTGGTGTGGGACCCTGTACACCAGCTCTTGTGCATTTCAGTTTAGTTTGCCTGGACTATATGGCACTCTTTATTTTCCTGCACTGCCCCTGGCCATAAATGTATATAGTTAGTGGTCTGTAAGTTGTCAATGGTACCGCGATGCACTTCTTGCTACACAGTGTAGAGTTTATGACCAAGGACAAATGATTCCATATATATGCACTAAATTGGTATGTGACATCAGTTTGTAACTTTACTCATTATTGCTCACTAATTCACATTTATCACTAAAGTCTACACAAGGATAACCCTGCATTATAAAACCAGCATGTGGCAGTGGTTTTCTATGTTATGCTTTATATTTGACAGTAGAGATCACAGGAAAGGTGGGGTCAAAGAGAGAATGACTTGCAGCAAAGTTCCCTGGTCGCACTGTTTCAGGGTCAGTGTCTCAACACCTAGACCAACAGGGCACCCGGTTGTTTTCTCTACAACATTTTGTCAGGATGTTATTTTATTTATGAGGGATGTTTTATGAATTTAAACTTGAATGTTCCCATTTGCTTTATTCTGCTAGTTAGCATAAGGCTAGTTTACATATCACAAAGTAAATTTGTTACATTGAACATGTCTGTAATTCATGTGTAGTCACAATCTTAGAGAATACCCATATATTAAATTGTAGCCATATTAAGTATACTTTTACAAATACTATTTAGGTATTGTAATAAAATTAAAAGCAAACAAACAAAATGTAAATTAACTTACTGTACCAGGACCTTAACATTAAAAAGGCATCGAGAATAGAGGCTACAAACTATTGAAATGTTTTAAACACGCACGAACAGCATGTGATAAAATTGTTGTCACACTGCATTCCTTTATACACCTTGATTCCTGATGCATCATTGCCAAAACAGGAGTATGATGTCTGCCACAGAAACAAATCTACTGGTGTTGGCCTCTCTTAAAAAATTGTGTCTTGAGAAGAAAATTCTTTAAGAGGACTGTGATTTTCAAACCACATAAGGCAGTGTCCAAAACCCTAAAGACGGTTTTTTCTGCCAGAACTGAGCCATTTGGCAGCCAGAAACACCACAAACTGGAGGTGATGACATTGGCCACATTAGCTATCCAAGCAGCTGAACTACATGTGACCTTCAAAGCACTATTGCAATTTACACTTGGTGTGATATCTATATGCATTCTCAATTTGGTTGTTGGCCAGTCTTCTGTTGTTGTTAGCGTTATTATCTCAGCGACAGAGTGAGGCTGCACTAAATTTGCTGTGGTTTGTTTGTTACTTTATATTTACTGTTTGAACTTGAGAAAACGTCTCTCCACTGTCTTTTTTTTTTTTTTTTTTTTTTTTTTGGTCACTAATTGTGTGGTGAGATTTTAATTCATCAAGGCAGCTTGTTAGGGCGTGCCTGCTTTTTATGTCAAAGTGCACAGTCAAACCACAGGAGAACCTCTTCAAAAACTAAACTGGACAAATAAATTCTTAACTGTTAAGCACAAAATTTGAATCACTGTTTTTTTTTTTTTTTTGTTTGATTTTTAATGAGGCATTCAAAAGTGTCAGTGTCCTTTTTGAACTAGTATTTATCCAGGGTACAAGTCCTCCTTTACAGCTGTACCCCACCTCACAATTATATACAGTTGTGCACATTCACAGCGGTTCAACAAAAGCCTTCTGCTCCCAACCAATGTGTCATTGTGTTGGACCTGTTGGGTGTGCATCTTGAAGACAGCTAATGAAGGAAGGTGGTGCTGTGGAGCTTTCATTTACTGAGGCTGCCAGGTTGCATAAGAGTGAATTTTAGCAAAAGGTCAGAGGAGTGGTGTTGATAATGATGATTTGAATAATGGTTTGTAGTTCATTAAGAAATGATATTGATGATGATGAAAAAAGCTGCTGTATTTGTAAGGTTCATCTTTTCATATTAATAATTACAGTTATGGGTATAATGCAGTGTGATTTGACAGCAGGTCACAGTGAGTTGTGCAGTCATCCCAGGGAAAGTATGTGTAGGGTGTGTATGATTATTTTCAACAAGTGCAGTTATTTCAAATCTAACTCTACCTTTTACTTCTAGAATACGTTAAAACATCTGTGGTCAGTGCCTCTTACCTTGTCTTTCACCCTCATGAGTTACAATTAGTCTGTAAGCGTCATTCCTATAAAATCCACCATAAGCAACTTGGTGTCATCAGGTGCTATTTTTTGTAGTTGCATTTGTGTAGATATTTTTAATGTTATACAAAAACGGATGAATTATGGGGCAAATACATTCAGAAAGCAGCTTTACTACAGATTTGAAATGAACACCTGGCTTGGCAGGAATGTAATTATGATACTGATGATAGATGATATTGCTGCTTATTTCCCTTATTTGAATTTCAACTATCTGTATTTGTATTAATTGCAGCATCTCTCATATCACGGGAGTATTATGATTGATATTTCTTGTTTTCACATAAACATGAACAATTCTTGTGAGCAAAGATTTATGCAACTCACCAGGAGCACTCTTGACGGGGTAGGGATTCTTGCTCACTTTTGATACATGGTGGTAGTATCTCTCGGGAGTTGCCTTTGCCAAAGCTAAGAGGACGAGGAGAAGGCCTGTTACCCTCAGGTCCATCTTGTGAAGCTAAACCTGCAAAGACAAAATCAACATATGACAAAAAGCATTGCTGCTATTTTTGTTTCTAGTGATAGTTAGCAACCAAGGGACCATGCACGATGATATAAAAAATAGCACGGGACCTGTGTGGCTGCACTGCACTCACATTTGAAAGTGGTGCAGTGTGCAGAACTACTGTGTAGTTGGTGCATCAGTGATTCTAACAATTAAAATGAAGTGATAGCCAGGTTGTACTCATCCATACTAAAGTGAACAGCTACAGTCAAATCGAAAACGCCTCTGTTAGAAGTGTTTTTAATTCTGTAAATTCTGTTGCAACAAAATTGATCCATTATTTGTCCATAACACCCCCATAATGTAACAACCAACCTGGCTTACAGAGGAATCTCTCTTGTGATTGAAATCAAACAGTCAGAGGCACAAATTCTGCCCTAATGTAAACCCAGCCATAGCACTTGGCTCATTACATTCCTAATACCAGCAGCCCCCAGCCTTCTACCACCGACCCTCCCCTGAGTGAGTACCTTTCTGCAGTTGGGATTCCCCTAGTGCACTAACCTGAAATCAGAAAAAAGTCATCTTACCAGAAGGTTTATGCTCCAAAGAAACAGTGAGGGTGTTGGGAGGCTGATGTCCTGGTGCACTGCTGTTATATCCTTAGTTGTGGAGTTTGTATGTCTGAGCGGCAGCTGCTGCGTCCCAGGGTGCTGGGCTCAAGGTATTTATACCAAACCAGTCTCCAGCATCATGAAGGACCTACCTCGTGTAGAAGGCCCTCCCTGTTCTGATGTCATCCTTAATGACGGGTGCCATGTCCTCAGTAAGCTTGTCACTTCAGGGTGATGGTCCTCCCTTTTCTCCCTTCATCTCGCTCTCTCTCTGTGTACAGAGTAGCAGTGTGGGGATTCTTGTCGCATCCTTTTGGGTGACATTTCCTTAACTTACTGTCATAATTTATGTCTTTCGAGTGATCTATAGTTACATTTGTGGCAGGTGTTTGTGCAGATAACAAAGATGACATCCTTTATTCCAGTGGTCCCCAACCTTTTTCTCACTGCGGACCGGTCAACGCTTGACAATTTTACCGCGGCCCGGGGGGGTACGTAGATTGTTTATATTGTTAATTTAATAATAAACATGAATCCACTGTGTTGAAATTTTTAACTCCCCATAACGCTAAATCAATGGGAGCCCTGATCTTGTTTCTCTGCAACGAGACGGTCCCATCTGGGGGTAACAGGAGACAATGACACCTGAAGTGTGTTGCTTATGTTCAGTCTACTCCGTTGTTTTGTTTTGGTTGCTGTCACTGCAGAAAAACCCGCTTCACACAGATAGGATGTCGGAAATGGCAAGTTTGAAACATGTCCAAAATGCCTCTGTTGACGCGCCGTCCCCACAAATAGAGTTTGGCTTTAAATGCAGCTACTTTATCTGCCAACTTGAAGACAGTTGTCATTTTCCCCTGAAGTGACAGATTGAGTTCATTGAGCAGGCTGAATATGTCGCACAAGTAAGCCAGTTTTGGCGCTCAAGTGACCGAGATGTAACCGAGAGAATGCGGTCATTTTTCAAAATAAAAGATCGTTCAGACTCAGATAATAAATAAAACGGAAATAATTAATGATTTCTTGTGCGGCCCGGTACCAATTGATCCACGGACCGGTACCGGTCCGCGGCCCGGGGGTTGGGGACCACTGCTTTATTCAGTCTTACATCTGACACCTTAATCACTGTTTGCACTGTTTGACAGATGAGCCAGGGTTGGTTTAACTGTCTGTCTTAGTGTCCTTTTTTTAACTGCTCAAACACGTGTGGTTTCTTTTTAGTCTAAAAACATCACGTTATTGACTGCGTGGCTTATGAGAGGATGTTATTCTGGAAAAGTAAAGACACTGTGAGTCTGACAATATTTTCTTCCAGTCTGAAGACTCTAAACCAGTGAGGCTGTGGTAGACTACCTGTACTGTATACACCAGATGGCTATTTTCACTCCGTCTTGGTTCATTCTGAAATTGCCCCCCAGTTTAGATGCATTTCTAAACTGAACACTGGCTTGATCTGTGTTCAGATTTAAATTGTACAGTACATAGAAAAGTCTAACTTGATGATGGCAGATCTATTGTCTCTGTGATTTTTGTCAAGTGGCATGTGGTTTACTGCAGTGCTTCATAGCTTTCAGACACCAGGAGGCAGAAGTGAGATTTAGTTCTAAGTTCCTACCTTCTAGATTCTGTGAGGACCCTCAGGTCTGCAGTTCAGATGCACTGAGCAGCAGCAGAAGGAACATATAGTACAGTAGACATAGTGTGTGTATACGCGTCACCCTCTGATCTGAAGGCTTTTACAGCATGGATACACAGAAACTGTAACTAGAACTGTAATGTAGAAGATATATTATTCTTCACATGGGCCTGAAACCAGGCTCATTCATCAGAATGGGCTGTCTTTCCATACAGTCATACTTAATAAAACGATGATAGATTGATGATTGATGATAGAAGTACTCAGAATTTTGTTGTCCACATCAGAGTCCGAGTGTTACTGAGTTCTGGGGCTGATTCCACGGTTGATATTTATTAATTAAAAAAGGCCATTTTCGTTCCTCTTTTTTTCTACTTTTGTCTAAATAAACAGCTGTCATCATAAACAAGTGAACAAAATGCTTCTGAACAGGATGTTATGAAAATGCAATATTTACTAAGCAGGACAAAAATAAAGTCAAGGGTGTTCTCTGGTGGATCACCTACTTCAAGGCAAAACAATGTTCCTAAGCATTTTTACTTAATATAATACCAGTATTTTGGCAGTTAATTAATACTGGCTGCTGTTGGATCAGTGTTTCTTAATTCACGATTAAGAACAGAAACATATGAACAAATTCCTCCAAAATGAAACATGAAAGGAATTAAAGAAGCATTGAAGTGAAAGATATAGTTTCCAAGTTCTATTCCTGTGTCCCGGTTTCTTGTTAGATGCTAAATTTGGGTTTAAAAATCTATTTGACTATTTCTTCTATCTAAATACCTTTCTTTTTCCTGTGAAGCAAAGATATCTTTGATAAGTTCGCTTGAATTCAGGAGTAGTAATATAAATGCATCCAATCAAATGTGATCTACCTGGCACCAACATGTTTGCACAGTGTGAGCATTGCTCTTGTAGAGACGGTGCTTTCTTCTGTGTGAGTAGAATGGATGTCAGCAGCGTGCGTGCAACAAAGCAAACATGGATTTGACAAACATAGCTGTTCTATTGGCTTCCCTTTATTTCTCCTTAATTGGCTGCCATCTCCTTCGTTCTTTTTTCAGAGAGGATGGGTCTATTTCTTCTCTTGAGGCCCTTCTTGTTGCTCAGGTTTTCTCTGCCAATGGAAACGTGATGTAGACAGCCAGGTTGGAGGCAGAGTAGCATGCTGTGGGACTTGCTTCTGAACAAGGCCAGAATTTTCAGCATGCTTACAGCCTGGGCAGTTTCTGTTTCTAAGACAGTGGAAACAGGCATATCCCAGTA